TTTTTTGGGGGGGGGGGAGTTGGAATTATAACTGTAATTACATTTAAAAATTGTTTTAAATCTTTCTAGAATCTGACAGAGTGTGACTTGCCTGAGGTCAAATCTAGTGGGCTTCCATGGCTGAGCAGGGATTTGAACTCTGGTCTCCCAGTGTCTTAGTCCAACATTCAAACCAGGACACCACCCGGGCTTCAATTACCCTTTATACAGCTGGTTTTGTTCTGATTTTGGAAGCTAAGCAGGGTCAAACTTGGTTGTTTTGTAGATGGGAGAATGGCAAGTGGATAGGGAAAAAACCAGCCAGTCCCAGCTGACAACAGTTGGCAAGGGGGAATAGTGGTCTGACTGGCAGCAATGATTAATATGGTTCAGCTAGCCCAGGGGTGGTAATAAATTTAATGGTGTTGGACTGCAACTCCCAGCAGTGATAGCCAGCATAGCCAATGGTAAGGAATGATGGGAGTTGCAACCCAACAATATTGGGAGGGCTGCTAAATCCTAACTCCCTGCCAACACTCCCAGCTCAGCAATGACTACTCTAGCATGGCGGGAGTTGTATTCCAACACAGTTAGGTTGCAGTCTTGTATGGCTCAGTGTAGAAGAGCATTTCTCCATATGGGTCTACAGTACGCTGAGCCCTATATCGTCCTCTCCCAAATTACCATAGAGTCTCTTAAGCCCCATGCCTTGTGAGGAGTGTCAGGATTGGAGAAGCATCTGGCTGTCTCCCTCTTGTCAGATGCAACATGATTACATCTGAAATTTGAAATTTGCCAGGGTCCTCCAGAGGACTCAGCACTGTTGTAATAGTTTTGCAAGTGATAACAGGGACCTGTGCGGTGTAGTGGTTTGAGTGTTGGACTATGACTCTGGAATCCAGGTTTTGAATCCTGGCACATGGAAACCCACTGGGTGATCTTGGGCCAGTCATATGCTCTCAGCCCCATGGCAGTGGCAAACCCCTTTTGGTGAAACTTGCCAAGAAAACCCCTATCATTCCCAGTGACACCACTGCAAATAGGTTCTGGATACTTTTTTTTAAATGGCTGTCCACTAGTAGGGACTCATGCAGAGATACAACAA